TTAAAAGCCTATATTTATAATCCTAATATTCTAAAGCTTAAGAAGCTTTAATCTTGCTTAATTAAAGGCTAGCTAATAGGTTATACTAAAAGTAATATCTTTAGGGTCTAGATTCCTTTAAATAACTATATTATTAAAGTATGAGATATTATAATTAATAAAATTATTAAATTTAATACTATTGCGCTTACTATAATTAACGACTAATTTGCTAACGTACCTCTAGATATACTGCTCTCTTATCTTAAAATAGACGTTAGTAGTAGTATATTTAACCTATAAGAAGCTAAATAATAGCCTAATTAAAATTAGGGGGTATAGAATAATTAATAGTAAAAATAAGATAGCTATTAGACTTTTAAAAACAATTCTAATTAACTTATATTTAACGACTAGCTAATAACGCCTAATCCTATATTATTACTATTATCTTAGCCTTCTTTATGATATTTAATACCCTTTATAAGTCTGTTATCTACTAGAGATTATACTAAATTAAGAGAAAATACTTTAGAAGATTTTACTTTTATAATTCTACTAGTACTGCTACTAGCTACTCTAATAGCTTGCCTAAAATAGTAGTATATTACTAAGTACAAATAAGAGATTTAAGCCTTTTAAAATATCTTTATATACGCTATAAGAAGTAGTTATATTTTATAATCCTTAAGGACTACTAATCTAGTACTTTATAAATCTTACTTCCTCGCTTTATTATATTATATGTTCTTTATAGCTTTAGTTTAATACTATTATAAAAGAAATATACTAGAATTATTAAAAATATAGTTTAAAATAATAAAACGCCCTAATTAAGACTAGTATCTTTTAGCTATTAGAATTAAAATTAAAATACTTTAGAAATAAGGTATATTTAAAGAGGTCTATACCCTTTAAACTAATAAGCTTATTCTACCCTTAAAGTAGGTATTTTTAGAGAAGTATAATTTAAATAGCTTCCTTCTTAAATATAAGGCTAGAATTTATATAAGAAGAGATCTATAATACTAAAATCTAGAACTAGAGATTTATACTACTATTAAAGCTTACTATATATTATGTATAATTCTTACGCTAATAGCTACGTTTAATTTAGATCTTTACTAATTTAATACTATAAATGCCTTTTTAAATACTATTTTAGATAAAATAGTTCTAGTTTAATACTTTAAAGGTTTTAATATCTTTAGAAAGGTCTTACTACTTTGCTATACCCTTTATAGACTATTAAGATCTTTATTACTATAGTATTAGGATATAAGAGCTACTCTCTATATAATAAAGTTTAAGCCTATTTTAAAAGACTTTTACTTTTTTAAATACGTTTAGTATTCTATTTTTCTTTTTTATTATATTAATAATTTCCTCTTTCTCTTACTAAAAGTATATTAAGTAAAAGTAAATAAAATAAAATATAAACTTAGTACGTATTATGCTATAAGGGATTTAAGTACTCTAAAAAGCTTTCTTAATATTTAAATACTTTAAGATTAAGCTAATTAAAAGCTCTAGATCTTATAGGACTAGTATATTAATAAAATTAACGCTAAATTCTAGCTTAATATTATAAAGAAGACTAAATACGTTATTTTTATCTTAAATCTTATTAAACTTGTTCTAAATAAAGAATAGGTATCTAAAGATTAAATTTACGCCTTTTAAATATATTATAGCTTTATAATCTACTCTACGATAGTATATAGTGTGAGGATCCAACGGGTACGTAATTAAGCAAAGAGTAGATAATATTCAACGATCTAGCGTACGAAGGGAGAGAGAGAGGTAGAGTAGAATCTACGCTAAGGGAAGAAGAGGGTGATGCTCGGTAAATCCTTAGAGACGCTAGCCCCAATCGGGACTAGCGCCGCCAGATCTTTGTAAAGATCTGGCTCAACACCAAAGCCATTATGCTTTAGCGAGGAATCCTTACATATAGGCTAGATATTTATTATATAGCCTCTTATTTAAGCTACTTTAACTAGAATTCTTCTAAGTTTTATTACTATAAGATTAAGAAAACTATTCTATATCTTTAAATAATAAAATACTTTGCGCTTAAGTATTATAGAACTACTAAAGTACTTACTATTAGCAAAGAAGTATTTCTTGTAGCTTATAATACTATATTTATAGATAATTAGGAGACTTAAAGATTAACTTAGGGCTTTTTATTTAACTTGTTTAAAAGACTTATTAGTTAGTAATCTTTACGTTAGAAGATAGTCTTAATATCTATAATAAAAGCAGAACTTCTATTCTTTTTAAATACCTTAAAAGAGTTAATCTTAATTTAATGCCTCTTTTTATAGCTTAAGTTTAATCCTAATATTAAAATACTAATATTAAATAATAATACCTAAATAGTAGGTATCGTAATAAAGTAGGCTTAGCTTTTATCTTCTAGATTAAAATATATTAATATATATTAGTTCTAGCTTTATTAAGAAGTTATAAAAGGCTATATCTTTATTAAATAGGTTCTTATAGGTAAGATGCTAGTAGATAGTTTAATAAAAGCTCTTTCTCTATAAGAATATAAGAAGTTTAGAAAGATACTAAATTTAGTAGATATAGAGTACTTAGTATTAGCTTAGGAAGATTCTTTTTAGAACGCTATAAATATTCCTACTACTATTATAAATTACTAAATCTTTTATATTTTTATATAAGCTAAATCTTCTACGCTAGGGCTACCTAATAATACCTTTTATTTCCTATTTTAATTAGTTTTAATATTTTAGTAGCTTAGTCTTAGAAAACCTAAAAATTAATATTTTTTTATACTTAATACTAAGTATATTTTAAAATCTATAGGTTAGAAACTTAGAGGGTATAATAGAAGGTTTATTCTAAACCTTAGATCCGCGCTAGTCCTAATCTAAGATTAGGAAGTAGAAATACTAAAATTTAGCCTCTATTAACTATTATATCTTTTTGCCTTTTCTACCCCTTTTTATATATTACTTTTGCCTTTATTATAGCCTAAATTCTAGGCTTTAAGAAGACACGTTTTACATCTTTAATAGGGTATAAATACCGTAGTTATTACAGTAGTTAGTTAATTAGATTCTTTAATGTTTCCTTTACCGATTTTGCATTCCCTAAGCTGCACGGACTATATTCCATCACAAAGCTTCAATTTGGGCATATTTTCCCTCTCAATCAACCAATACTATCCATAGAATAAGTTTGAAAAAGAGCCCACTTTACTACATTCTTCAATACGATTATATTAAGTACTAGTGCCTAAAACATTTCTATTGAGAGTAGGGTCCATTAAGTCCAGGGATGTATCGTGATGTCGCACGTGATGCCCTTGTTGTGTATAAAATGTCGATTGAAGAGTCTCTTGACTGTTCTCTTTCTTCCTCTTCTCATCTTACCATCACATCTGGCGTTCAAGTCGATTGCTTCTGATATGTTGAACCCAATAATCACGAGGCTTTTTCTTACTTCTGATAGGAATAACAAAGACTCCCAAGGTGTAACGGCCACCACCCTGAACACCGAAGCCTCTGGCTTCAGCAAGCAGATATCATGGACCCAAAAAGAAAATGCTCGATACTGGGGTTGAACCAGTGGCCTTTAGATAACAGCATTAGTCTAATGCTCTAACCAACTGAGCTAATCGAGCTGGACAATGTTTCAAAGTGCCGGAAATCCATATATAACTCACAGTGTACGCATGCCTTTCAGTGCTACACACCATTAGGATTAGCCTGGCCCTGTGAAAGGACTCATGACATTCACATATCATACAGTAACTGTTCCAAAATGGCATGATTCCGCTATAATGGCGCGGATTGAGGCTTATTAATTCCTTCACTGCGGAAGCTAGTGTATCTAACCCAGAATTTGCAGCTATGATCGATCGTATGGGACAGAGCCGTCAAATGCACATACTGAACAGGCAATAGCCAAGATATATAATTATATCAAAGCATCTTCTAAGTCTGTTTATAACTCGTTGTTCTATAAAATATTAAAATATCCTTATTGATGCCGTTAAAGCCAGAAATATAGCAAACAACCAAAATGCATTACCAGCAGCGATTCTTTCGCTACTAGAAGCAGTAGACGATGCACCTTTTGCAGTCCCATTGGCGGTGCTTCGGACTGCACTCGTCGTCGAAGCCAAATGCGTTGTGACCGTCATGATATCTTGTATGACCAGTTCCATACTGGTGGTCGTTACACACATGGCTGGGTCGCTAGTTGCGGCGCAATATTGAGAAATAGGCTGTGTACTTGACACAGTGACTGTAGTCGTCGGTGTCGCGACTGAATTAGCACGCTTGAAATGATTGTTTGGCGTGATTTCTGCCTGTGGACTGGAATGTATTTCTGTCTTGGCCTGAACATTGTTAGAGTGGGATCTTGAAAAGAAATGCTACATGTGAAGGGACTGACTCTTTTCGCAAGGCTCGAGGCAGCCAGCATAGTGACAGTGGCATTGTAATGAGTACTCGTTGCAGTGTATTGAGTGACAGTGGTAGGTATTGCTCCCGTAAGCACAGGAATGACTTTAGTGACAGTGACGATGTCGATGCATGTTCCCAGAACGGAGTTACCGCACACTTGGTGCGACAGGTCGCAAAATGTTTGAAAAGGACAATTTGGTGTGCAGCCTAAAGCGCAGAAGTATGCTAGTGTTGTTTGCCATAATAGCACGAATGCCTGGAAGACATTAGCATCATAGTAGTATCAGGTGTCATCCTCATTAAACATGTACTGCGAGCATATTGATCTGCAGAGTTTCTTCTTTGCAAACTTCAGATAGCAAAATGCTGTACCGTCGTAGTAGAGTGTGGCTTGAACAGGGTATCTTACAAAAATCTGCAGCAACATTTATGTATGTCGAATATTGTCTTTTTTGTTGCTCAAATATCGAAGTCACGAAGTAGGAGTTCCAATTTTTTTTGAGTTTGAACGCACAAAATATTCGTTGTATAGCCCAAATAGATCGTCAACCCCAAAATGCATAATGGCAAAGTATTAGTATTTAGAAGAAATATCTGTCTACAGTTCGTGCGGCGCAGTTGAGTTTCCATACCCGCGGCCTGTCAAAAATCAATCTAAATGCCCCTATTCTTAGAGTTTCAGGATCGATGCTCAACCCAACTGCGGCTCATGAACCAACCGTCAAGTCTACTTGAGAGAGATCAAACCGATCTAGCCAAGCCAGAGTCTGCCCAATCCTATGAGCTGGGCGGTAAAATATGAAATTGCTACGTTCTTGTGCAAGGCTGAAGATGGACCAATCAGAATGCCGTCCATAAGCAATGCGTTGATCACATCAAACAACCTCGGCGGCTAAGGAGCATTTGTTCGCCACAAAAGCCAAATTCAATGGTCTCAAAATATTGATCGCAGTTCAAGCTTAAAATGCTCTGTTAAGTTCTCTAGAGAAATCTAGAGGACTTACAAGTCCCTGGTCTCTATTTTTCATGCCAGATTCCCATCTCGTCGCTGGTTAAGTCTCGCTCTTTCACCCATGTACTGTGGAATAACGCTTGAATGAATGGCAGTCTACCAACATCTCCCACAAGGACGAGTTTGACGAATGGAATATCGCGAAGTGACGAGTATGTCTCAGCAGGGCCCAAATAGCCGTCGACAGCCCAGACATTGCCTTCGAATCGAAAGCTAAATGGTGCGTCTTTACAGTCTTCAGTATGCGTAGTACTTATCTTTCCATGAATGATGTCATTCAAGCCTTCGGGATAGCCTCGTTCGCGATTGATAAGACTAATAAGTGCAAACATTCGTGAATTCAGATATTCTGCCCGAATCCATAGATCTATACGAATTCGATGATGTTGTTGAGCTGGAATTATCGCAAGAAGAGATTTTAGTTGATCGAGACTTAAGATGCAGAAGTTGATGAGTGGCAGGTGCGTGCTGAAAAAGATATAGCTTGCTTCATGCTTGATCTGTTTGCTGACATGCCGCATTGTAATGTATAGTTTAAGGTAGTCTTTCCAGATTTCTGCGGTAGTCGATTTTTGAGCAGCAAGTGGGCCGTGATATTCATTCAGCCAATGCTGTCTGTGAAACTCTGGGTAAGAGAAGTAATGGTTGTAGATGACATTGCGGATTTCCGGGGGAAGATCAAGGAAGGAACGTGGCATAGCAGAGGATAGGAGTTGAGGCTAGTGGACTGGCTTTCAAGGTAGTCAGTTATTGAGTGTACGTTGTGGACTGGAAATATCTAGAGACTGCGTGAGGAAAGCAGAGAGAGGCATGCGGAGTATATTAGTCGAGATTATCAGTAGTAGCTACTCATACTTAGGTGCTTTGGTGCTGCTTTAATAGCTCCGGTGTCTGTTCTCTGTGCCAGTGATGCTATCTTCGATCCTCGCAACGTTCTTGAAGATTGATAACGACATCCATCTCCGCTTCTATCTGATAGACTCACAGCCCGATAGCTTACAGATGAGCAAGCTACGATCAGAAGTAGTATGGGCATGTGTTTTCCAAGCTTTTAACGTCCATGCCGGAAGAGATCAATGATGTCCAACCCAACAGGTGGTTTCTCATCAGATGCATCACATTTCGATCACCATCTCTACATTCCGGGATAGATATTTAGATATGACTGAATAGTATGAAAGAGATGAAATCCCAAGGTCTCTGTGTCCCCAACTCGAAGAGCAAAGATGGAGGTGAGGTGAGATGAAAAGTCAGTGACAGGGGTACGTACGGCAGCACTAGCGCCTTCTTCGCGTGACAGCCAATCACAATTCGTTGGCTTTTATTCCATCAATTTTTTGAGCTTGTGAGCTTCATCTGACATCGACACTCCAACTTTATCCCCATTATTCCTCTGCTTCCAACAATCCGATGAACCATTTCTACGTCTTCCAATATGCGCATCAAACTCTCCGTCCATCGCCATCGCCTTCCCACCACTCATGTCCAATGGGTTATCCCTGAGAGCCTTCTCAATCCAGGCAGCACCATCTCCCGCTTGCTGAAGGAAATCGATCCTATCATATGCATAGAATCTGATGACTGGGGTCTTGAAGACTACGTCGTTGAGATAGATGGCTTCGAATGCCTCCACTTCTGGTCCGTTCAGAGCGTCATCAAGGAGGATGATCATGTAGTGTAAGTTCAAACTTGTCGCGTATTCACTGATCTGCTCGCTAACGTTTTCGTGACATAGTATCCGTCCGCTACAAACACCGGAGGTCCGCGCCCGGCGGCTCGCTGGTCGCTCTCAGATAAATCATGGCGGTCAACACTTAACGGACGGCGTTCCTTTCGGACGCGCATATCTCAGAGAACCGTCTCGCCCTTCAATATATATTCCTCCCCGTCCAAATCCACCATCAGACAACCCCGCAGAGTTCAATATTGGCGATGCCGCAATCGCTCCTCTGCTGCTCACTAGTGGTGATGAGATGGATCAGAGCGAGGTTCAGCTACAAACCGAAGCCGGCGCAACCACTACTACAAAGCGAAAACTAGATGTTTACTTGGAAGACGAAGATGAAGACGAGGACGACGAAGAGTTTGACCCTGATGCAGTAATGGATGATATAAGCAGCTCAGACGATGACACTGACGATGAGGCTTCGGAAGTTGATGATGAAGCTATGGAGGATGAGCCCAAACAGCCGAGCCCAAAGATTATCAAGAAAGATGGGACCAAAAAGGTACCTCGAACTAAGCCACTTAGTCCCAAGGCTTCTAAACATGATCCAAGCAACAAAAAGCGAAAGACTGAAGAGGCCAGCCAGAAGATTCTGAAAAAGCCAGCAAATGACAGTCAAGACACTGGGAAGACCAAAACCGGGCAATCGCATAAGAAGAAACATGTAAAGTTCGCAGCGGATCAGGACAACGATGATGCTAGCAGTGATTCCAGCTCAGACACAGGTTCATCCAATTCATCTTCATCGTCGTCCGAGAGCGAGGCTTCAGACTCATCTAGTGATGATGACTCCAGTGAAGATTCCGAGAACGACTCTTCATCTGATTCTTCGTCCGACTCTTCTTCCGATTCCGATTCCTCTGATTCGAGTTCTGACGAAAGAGAGCCAGAGCCAGCCAAGGCACCTGCAAAGAAGAAGGTCACTAAAGCTGATTCTTCGACAAAAGCGCCTACCGAAATGTCCTCTAAAAAAGAGACAACCAAGGTTGCGGATAGTGTGTCAACTACCAAAAATGACCGCAAAGAAAAGACTAATTCAATATCGGTCCCGCCTGGAGAGGGCAACGTCAACACTAAAAAACGAAACGCTCGTCGAAAAAGAGCCGAAAAGCTTCGATCTTTGATCGCGCAGAACATTCTACCAAAAAATGCAACTCATGAAGATCTCGACAAATGGTACGAGAACGGGGGAGTGTACCGTGGGCCCGACTCTACCATGGGCGATATGTCAAACGATCGCACGCACACGGAGTCACCACAACCACACTTTAGCGATGCAAACGCTAAGAAAACCAACGCCAGCACAAATGAGTCTTTGCAAAACCAAACTGTTCTTGCTTCCACCAAAACACCTAAGAGTAGTACTGAGAAGGCAGAATTTGAGGCCCGCCGCCAAAAATTGCTCGACTCTTTGGAACAGGGAGGCGTAGACATTGATACTCTCGAGCCGATCGATTCTACTTCAACCCAAGATC